ATAAAAGATTTTTAAAAAGAAGTTTTAAAGCATTCAAAAAAAAGTTTAAAATGTTCCAAAACGAGCTAAAAAAAATTTTCAACTAATGATCTCAAGGTTGGCAGAGAGAGTGTCTTTCAAACATCAGGTGCCTGAGTAAAGATAAATATTTTCAAATTTCTGTTGAAAGTTAATAATGAGGGAGACAGATGCACCTCACTCAGAAGGGAATTCCATAACTGGGGAACCACCACTGAAAAGACCCTATCATGGGTCAGTGCCAACAGGGCAGACACCAAAGGCAGCACCATCCCCAAGGCCTCACCTGCAATTGTAAGGTCCCAAGCCATTTAGGGTTTTATATACTAGCACTTACACCTTGAATTTGCCCCGGTACCTCACTGGCACCCAGTGCAGTGGTTTTAGGACCAGTGACACAGTTTGTTTGTTTGTTTGTTTGTTTGCTTGCTTGCTTGCTTAAGTTATTTGTATCCGGCACTTCAGCTAAGGATGTTGGAGAATTCTGGTGGGAATGGCAACAGGAGTGGAAATTGCCAGTGTTCACTTATTTTTCCAGAATGAAAATCAGTCCAGTGAATGTGATTAGCATTTGCTGTTGCTTTCTGTCCACAAATGATACATAGCTGATTACTTTTCCCCAACCATTTTGCATTGCATTCCCTTTGCACTGAAATGAATGGGGTTGGATGACATAACGACACTGTAATATACATAATTAATTCCATAAGTTATGTAATTTCTGCACAGTGAACAGCAAGACAAATTACAGAGATTTTGGTGGAAAACAAACTGCAGCAGAATGGAAGCGGTGCTGCATGTGATGAATACAGAGTGGAATAGAAAACAATGCCTTATTATGTTTTACTGTGGTTTTATAATTGTTGAAAGCTGTTCCAGAGTGGCTGGGGCAACCCAGACAAATAGGTGGCATATAACTTTATTATTATTATTATTATTATTATTGACTGGCTTAGCATTGCCTCTGAATCTGAACTTAAGTTGTATTTCCCACACACAAACTGCAAATGGTAAGGTAAGAACTAACCTTGGTAACTGCATGTTGTTTGGAGAGATGCAAACCATGAATTAAAGTAGAGACATCATGCTAAGCCAGACCATGGCTAAGCCAAACCAGCAGCATGGCAGAATGCGACAGCCAGACTGGTGACTGGGAGCGGCCACCGAGACCATATAACACCGGTCTTGAAAGACCTACATTGGGTCCCAGTACGTTTCCAAGCACAATTCAAAGTGTTGATGCTGACCTTTAAAGCCCTAAACGGCCTCGGTCCAGTATATCTGAAGGAGCATCTCCACCCCCATCGTTCCACCCGGACACTGAGGTCCAGCACCGAGGGCCTTCTGGCGGTTCCCTCACTGCAAGAAGCCAAATTACAGGGAACCAGGCAGAGGGCCTTCTCGGTAGTGGCGCCCTCCCTGTGGAATGCCCTCCCACAAGATGTCAAAGAGAACAACAACTACCAGACTTTTAGAAGACATCTGAAGGCAGCCCTGTTTAGGGAACCTTTTAATGTTTGATGTATTATAGTATTTTAATATTTTTTTGGAAGCCACCCAGAGTGGCTGGGGAAGCCCAGTCAGATGGGTGTGGTATAAATAAATTATTGTTATTATTATTATTATTATTATTATTATTATTATTATGGCAGAAGCAAGGTTGAAGTGAAGCACAGGCAATTTCACCATGTTTATTTTTTTAGTAAGGTTTAATGTGACATGCTAACCAAACCATTGGTTCCCAATACACTGTCAGTTGACACATTCTTTCCCTTTCAGCCTGTCTTCTGTTTTCATTTCCCCAATCTTCTTGGTTTCCTTGTTGTGTGTGTGTGTGTGTGTGTGTGTGTGTGTGTAATATTTAAGTTTACCCATTGGCCATTCTGACCCAAATTAAGCAAAGGTGTCCCTAAGTAGTCCAAATGGCATGGATTAGGTAAGTGCCTCCTTGTTGTCATATCATGTTTGTATAAAGCAGGCTCCCACCAATTTTCTTTTGCCATAAATCAATGAAAATTGATGTTATGGACTTTCACTTCTGAAGGAAGAGTCTTTTTGCAATTAAGCCAGCTCTGTGTATTCATTTAGCAAGCCCTTCACTGATGTCCCACTCCACCAGAACATATATTATGAAAAGATGCTAACAGCAGAGCTTCTGTTTCTGTTGATATATGCATCAATGCAGATATTTCAAAGGCATACCTTGTGGGTGCCTGATGTAAGTATGCAAAATGACTTTTACAGATTGGAGAACTGGGCCCAAACTAAGATAATGAATTTCAATAGGGACAAATGTAAGGTTCTTCACTTAGGCGGGAAGAATCATATGTATAAATATAAGATGGGGGACTCCTAGCTTACTAGAAGTACATGTGAAAAGGATCTAGGGGTCTTAGTGGACCACAAGGTTAACAGAAGTCAAAGGTGTGATGTAGCTGCAAAAAAGGCTAATGGTATTCTAGGCTGTGTCTAGTGTTCCAATCAAGGGAAATCATAGTACCACTCCATTCTGCCTTGGTCAGACCACACCTGGAATACTGTGTCCAGTTCTGGACACTACAATTTAAGCAGGATATTGACATGCTGGAATGTGTGCAGAGGGAAGGAACCAAGATGATCAAGGGTCTGGAAACCAAGCTTTATAAGGAATGCTTGAAGGAGCTGGGTATGTTTAGCCTGGAAAAGATTAGACTGAGATGAGATATCATAGCAATCTCCAAATATCTAAAGGACTGTCACAGGGAAGATGCAGCAAGCTTCTTTTCTCCTGCTCTGGAGGATAGGACTCAAACTAATGGCTTCAAGTTACAAGAAAAGAGAACTTTCTGACAGCGAGAGCTGTTCTACAGTGGAATAGAGTCCCTTGCGAGGTTGTGGACTCTACTTCCTTAGAGGTGTTTAAGCAGAGGTTGGACAGCCATCTGTCTCAGATGTTTTAGTTGAGATTCCTGCATTGCTGGGGGCTGGACTAGATGACCCTTGGGAAACCTTCCAATTCTATGAGTCTGAGTCTGTGAGTCTATGCGTCTCACATGAGATATGTGCAGTCTCATATTAGCAAGCACCAATGCATGTATTATGAACATATTGTTATGAATTTGGGTGGGAGGAAGTAGGCTGTACGTGAGGTTCTTCTAACGCCTGGATCTGGCCAGTGTCAAAATATAAGCCAGGCTAGTTTCCTGTGTTGAGGTGACAGCCCGGGTGATGGGTCATTAAGGGGAACAAAGGAAAGAGGCTCTGTGTGAGAAGGCAAATGGGTGTGGGTATTCTGCCAGCTCAGAACAAATCCAGATTTGATTTATGTTGATTTATGTTTGAATCCAAGGCTGCAGCTGTGGGAGAAACAAGACCCTTTTGGGGTGCTAATACTGTGAACCCCTCCATCATAGGCTCAGGTTGTGTATAGGTGTAAATAAGCCATATATCATAAAGACAAATCCAAAAGAAAACACGAACCCTGGTTAAGCTTCTGAAACCCTTGGAATTTCACACCACTTGGGTGTTGGGCAACAATATCTATCAGAGTTGGTTCAAAGGATGAGGCCATTGGCTTTACAGTGTGTTCTCTTATCCTGTAGAAATCATACTGCAATCACATATGTGGAGACTTGCTATTTAATTACAAAGTATTCCTTTTCAAATATTTACTGTGTAACAAACAAATGTATTCAATGGGGGGTAGCTTTATAACAGCAGAGAAAGGGCCTCGTGGCAATGAATGTCCAACTTGCAGTTACTGTTTATATAAACAATAAATGGAGCTCAAGTCTTTCCAAATATTTTGCATTTCTATTTGACCTCACGTAGGCAGACTTTTACAGTCAATTCAGCCATTAAGGAGGCCAGATTTCAAATGTCTGAAAGCCATTTCTGAGTGCTGGAAGGTTAGAGTCAGGCCATTTTGCAACAATTAAAATTTGGCAGGGTTTAGCAAGTTCCAAAACAATTCATAATGCTCCCCCTGCATGCAGCCCTTTAGAAATACTAGGAATTATTATCACCTTCCTCAGCCTCATCCTGTGCCAGTTGACCAAAACACCTATAAAGACATGAAAGCACAGTGCCTGCTTCTCCCTTTAACTACTACAGTAGCCCAGACAACATCTGCGCAAACAATTAATGTATGGATTAAGAACAGAATAAGAGGACCTATCTAGTCCAGCATTCTGTTCTTGCAGGGCCACCCAGCTGCCTGTGGGAAAGCCACAAGCAGCACTGAAGCCTCTGTGCTCTTGTGGTTTCCAGCAACCAGTTTTCAGATGCATTACTGTCTCCAGCTGTGGAGGAAAAGCATAGTCATCATAGCTAATAGCCATTGATAGTCTTCTGCTCCATAAATTGGCCCCATCCTCTTTTAAAGCCATCTACCTTACTGTGTCCTGTGGAAGCAAGTTCCACAGTTTAACTATTGAAGAAAGGGGTGTCAAGAATCTTGCCTGTTGTTTCTGTCACCAACTTCCACATGTTCGGTTTGAGCAAAGCCGTCTCACGTACAGCCCATATTCATTTAGAATCCACTCTGTTTCCAGGTAGCATTTAAAGGGCTGGTTTTAACTTTTAAAGCCCCAAATGACTGGGACCTGATCACTTGAACGATCACCTTCTGCCACATTTATCTCACCTTTGGAGGCCCTGATCTAGGTTCCCCAGAGAATGCACGGATTCAGGTAGCCAACAGTGTGAAGGGCTTCTGGCATCATTCTAGATAGGCTTCATAGAAGCCTGAAAATGTACAAAGGAAATAAAAACACATTCACCAAAGCTCTAAAGAAATTCTAAAGCACTGTGACAAAGAAGAAGAAAAATGGAAGCCTCTTTCACATGAGGATGAAAGGTTTTTGAGAAACTGGAGGCCAATCCTTGCAGATGTAGGCTCTGTTCAGATGAACATTTGGAGATCAGGACAGAGCCAGCAAGTAGAATTCCCTCTCTCCCTGCTATGCACATCATTATCTATAGCAGTATTTCCCAACCTTGGGTCTCCAGCTGTTTTCAGACTACAATTCCCATCATCCCTGATCTTGCTAGCTAGGGATGATGGGAGTTGTAGTCCAAAAACAGCTGGAGACCCAAGGTTGGGAAACACTGTTCTATAGTGCACATTCCTTCTGTACATACATGTTGTCTGTGCAGGTACCGGATGCTTCAGATACAAACATTAATATTGTAGCCAGAGAAGCTTTTTTATATTGAAGTGAACCAACACAGAAACTTTTAATTGGTTTGCTCAAGATGGGTTACACCCAGATGCCTCCTCAGCCTCATTGGGAGTTGTGGCCAAAAGTGGTTTATAGCATACAGAAAAAAATACCCTTGCTTTTTTATGATCATCAACGCTTCCGGTATTACACATTTATAAATACAGTGGTACCTTGGGTTAAGAACTTAATTCGTTCCTGAGGTCCGTTCTTAACCTGAAACTGTTCTTAACCTGAGGTACCACTTTAGCTAATGGGGCCTCCCACTGATGCTGTGCCGCCACCGCATGATTTCTGTTCTCATCCTGAAGCAAAGTTCTTAACCCGAGGTACTATTTCTGGGTTAGCGGAGTCTGTAACCTGAAGCGTCTGTAACCTGAAGTGTCTGTAACCTGAGGCATAGGGCTTTTTATTTCTTGGAGTATTCTCAGAATCTGAAAACACAAGAGGCAAACAGATGCTAGACAGTTCACATACTTGTAGCTAAAGTGATTTTACCAATAGCACTTTTGGTTTGGCCTCATACCAAACTGTTGACTTCACCACTCACTAGGACCCATTGTTCTCTACTCCCACTGTAGTGATGTTCCAAAGGTGGATGAGAACAATGTGTGCCCATTTCTTTAGTATTATTGTTGTTGCTGTTGAAGAGTAGAACACATGATAGACCCTGATGTTCCACCCACCTCTTATGCCTGAAGTAGATCCACCCATATCATATGGATCACAATTAGAGAACCACAGGACATTTCATTTGGATTCATTTGTGATAAGCGTCAGGACAGATGGTCATCAAATGGCTAAACTGAAAGTCAAACAGTACCTATCCAGAGTGGGCATCAAATCTTTGACCTTAGAGTCATTGTCAAATGAACTTGAATTATGCATTTCCACGTAGCATTGAAGCTGATAATTTATTCACAAGTTGCCTTCCATTCCAAAGAAAACAAAGGATATCACAGTCCCACAGGGAAACGTATCCAATACTGAAATGCAGCTGCGATATTGTCAACAGAGGACAGCTGCTTGAAACCCCTTAGGATGTTTTTGCAAGGATTTATGGTTAGAAGGGAAGGACAGCATTTCCAAAATCAACTAGAACTTCAAGAGGCTTGATTAACCAAAGCAAGAAGTTGGTAAAAGCCCAGAAACAAATTACCTACTGGGAAAGTTGGTGTCAGATTTTTAATCACCGCAAGTTCTGCAAACAATTTAAATGTTACTGTGATGGATTTTTGTTTTGTTTTTAATGCATCCTTCCCTGATATGGACTGCACCATCCATGCTGATCCTTCAATTACCCAACTGGTCTTCTGATTCTGCAAGGACCTAGCATAAGACATGTTTGGGTGCTACATGGTATCCAAGATGAGTTGTGTTAACTGCATTATGTCTCCATCAGTGGATGGGCAGGTGCCTCTAGGCTGGGAATTCTCTCTCGGCCCTAGTGGGCATGACCACAGGTAAACAGTTGATGGAGCAATGAATATGACTTGTACTTTAGTTTATATTTCTTCCAAGCAAAAGACAAATTTTCTACACACACACACACACACACAACCCTCTCTATCCTCCCTCCAGGGAAGGAAGAGACATTATCACAATTCAAGATTCCAGTCAGGTGAAAAGTTCTCAAGAAGGGCTTGGTGAAGGGCTAGTGAGGGGTGTGGCCTGTTGAGAATGGCCATCTGTCATGGATGCTTTAGCTGAAATTCCTGCATTGCAGATGGGGGGGTCCCTTTCAACTCTACAATTCAATGATTCTATGAGGGGTGTGGCCTAGTGAGGGGTGTGGCCTGGGCAGATTCCCATGGGTTAGATGGGCAATGGTGCCGACTACAATTCTGGGATAATAAAAATCTGTTTTAAATTGGTGTTGAAAGAGGGCCCAAGACCAGCTTTAATCCAGAGTGAAGGGAGTTCCATCACAGATACTGTCACAGGAAAGACCCTACGGCGTTTCTCCTGTATTCAAAAACCTATATTCAGAAGTATGCTGAATCTGAACAGGGAAGCTCTGGTCCTAAGAATACACTAGAACGTAGGATGAGCCTTGCTGGATCATACACATGGCCCATCTAGTTCAGTATTTCCTTATCCTGGTGGCCAACCTGTGTGAAGCCTACAAGCAGAACATGAGTACAAAATCTCTCTCCTGTTCATGTTAGCCAAAAGCTGGCATGCTGCCTCTGATACTGGAGGTAATATATAGCCAGCATGACTGCAAGCCATTAGGGACAGGGGAGAAATGTGATTCAGTTTGCATTTAAACACAAGCCTATCAAATTCACACTTTCTGAATCAATACTCAACATGAAACACAGCCATCCCTAGAAATTCACACTTCTCCAAATGTTGCAATGCAGTTCTCCAGCCAAGTAATGAAGTATACTAGGGTAAGTGAAAACAACATTCAAAAAAGCATTATATTAGAAAAAAATTCCTTTTAAAAATGTGCATATTAGGCAAAATTGCAGACAAAGATGTGTACATTGAGAGAAATACACAATAAACTGCTGACAAAATTTTCATGAGAACCTTTTTTAAAAAATTGCAAATTGATGTAGAGATCTAAACTTAAGATGGGAATAATGAAAAACTGACCAATACATCAATCTCTAGTTGGCATTGATAGATATTACCCTACACAGATTTGTTGCGACTTGTTTGCTCTGCCACATAAAACTGATGGGCCTCCTAAAATTATTGTAACCAACCCCCAACCCCCTGACTTCCAGGCCCTGCAAATCTATCTTACTATCTACATCTCAGCAATATGTTAACTTTGGCTCCATGGTTCCCAAACATTCAAGAGAGCCCCCAGCACAAATAAGCATACTGGTCCTGGGTAATTGTTATTGCTGCCGCACATGTAGTCCTGCCACTTCGTCCACTGATCTGAAATTATTTTTCTTTTGAATGGTCTGATCCTCACATTCCTCCACTGTTATTTAAACAGCATGGCGTTGGGGGTATATAGGCAGGACGAGAGAGAGAGAGAGAGAGAGAGAGAGAGAGAGAGACTTTCGTGATTTGATCCCACTATGTAGACATAAGACTAGGAAATAAAACAGGACATTGAGGGAGCTTTACTTAGCCATCAACATAAAGGTCTTGATTGTGAGAGCCTTCAAAGTTCACCAAGAACAGCTTTCTGCTTATCTTTGAAAAACAGAATTTCCCTTACATATCAAGAGTATGCATTTTTTTTTTAATGGGAAAAGCTTATTCCAAGTTTGCTTTGCTTTCCTCCAACTCTGACACCAACTACATCCCTCTGCCAAGTAGCTGCAGATGTTTGAAGCCTTGCAGTTGGGTGGACATTGGGAACCCTTGAACTCAAGGATGTACCCGTGACCTGCTAACCTGCTGCTTGGATTAATTTAATACTAGGCTGTCTTTGAATATTGTCTGTTAGCTTCAGTTGGTGCAGAATACCACTTCCAGGCTTTTGATGAGCATCACATATGAAGGTTTTGCCTCCTCAGTGCTAAAGGGTGCTGAACAAGCTGCTTCCAGGACCATTTCAAAGGGTTCTCATAAGCCCTATGTGGCTTGGTACCCTGGTGCCAATTGAAATCTACCTTCCTGCACTTATTATTGGATCATCAAAGCAGGCCTTTCTCCCTGTCTCCTTCTTGCCAGAGGTGAAGCAGGTGATAACTAGAGAGGGGTCATTTTTGCTTATGGTACCTCATATGTGCAGGAAAGCTCTCTGTTGCCAACACTGCTTTTCAGCGGCCAGGGAGAACAGGAAATGCTGTCCTCTGAGTTAGATCAAGCCCACAAACCTTTCTGTTCTGACATGTAACTAGTCCTCCATCGGTTGCATCCCATCAACCTCCATCCCTTGCTCTGTCCCTGCAGCAAGTTCCTACCTTTTTCTGCAGCACACATACTCCATTTCCTTGCCACAGTTCTGCAGCCACCATGAAGAGAATGAGAAAAAGAGGGAGACCTGCAGGCAGGCAGGCATACACATGTTTGAGTTCAGTGGACCTACCACAGAGCACAGCAGCTGAAGTTGTGTTGCATTCTTCAGAAAGATGTTTGAGCCACTGTGATCCAGTGCCAGACTTCCAAGCTTGTATGTGTGTTGTTGTTATAATTATTGAGAGCCAGTGTGGTGTAGTGGTTAAGAGCGGTAGTCACATAATCTGGGGAACCGGGTTCGCGTCTCCGCTCCTCCACATGCAGCTGCTGGGTGACCTTGGGCCGGTCACACTTCCTTGAAGTCTCTCAGCCCCACTCACCTCACAGAGTGTTTGTTGTGGGGGAGGAAGGGAAAGGAGAATGTTAGCCGCTTTGAGACTCCTTAAAGGGAGTGAAAGGCGGGATATCAAATCCAAACTCTTCTTCTTCTTCTTCTATTATGCTACACATCTGACAGTGTTGCTCCAGACACTCTGGGCAGCTTCCAAAAAATTAAAATATCAAACACAGTAAAGCATCAAACAGTATGTCTTGTCTGTCTGTCTCACTCTCCTTGTGGCAGAACCATGGCTTCCAATGCTTCCTTGTGATCTTTGAAGGGTGGTATAGAAATTTAATAAATAATAATAAAATTAATTCCTTCATCAGGAGTCAGGCATTCACAAAGCTTGTGACCTCCCACTCACTAGCTATTGCCCCCACCAACTCACTTGCTTCCTACTACCAATACCAAGCATTGGAAAGACCAGCTTCTCACAAGAGGGGGGGGAGAGAGGATAGATGGGGGGATGTGTGAAAGAGTCTGAATGCCTAATGGACGAATGATGGGGGGGATTCTTATTGTTGAGGCAGTGCACTGATGATCTGATGTTCCAACCTGACATCTTGCTGCACATGCCTCTATATGTAATCAGGAACAGAAATGGCTTGTGGTTTG